TCAAAAGTAAAAATCACATTGCGACTGACGGCCAGTGAGTCAGTCAGTAAGTCTTGGTGTCGAGCCCCATCTAGGGCTTATGACCAGATATTTATTATTGTTTGACAGTTACGGTTTTGTTTTGTGAGGCTCCCTCTCTGACGAGAGGACGGATCTGTCTTTTGTATATGCTGCTGGCCCTTGCTAGTGCAGTCTTTCTCGGGCCTGAGTCCCTTGGGACTGTTTCAGTTTTGAGACTTCCCTTTTGGTCTCCTCCTACGACTCGCAGGGTCACGGTGGAGGTCAAATTACTGACCCATAAATTGTTCTACTTATAACGGACCGCGTAGAAATCACCGTTTCCCAGTATTGTTGATCCTCTTGTTGACGTGGAAACGTGCTTGTATAGTTGCATATTTCTGTGGCGTTGCGTAGCAACGGGTCTACATGCCACATATATTGGTACTGTACTTCAAAATGGTTATGGTAACTTCCTTATATTTCCCTTACAATCAATTTACCATTCGGCTGTATTGTTTGCAGTACATAAACGGTATTCTTGTATGGGACGTCTATTTTCGACGCCTGATAGTATAGATGCTGACAAGCGTCGTGAAATGAACGGCAGAAGAGTCTCAGCAAACTGCCAAATGGCCGCGTCATGGCTCAAGCGGTTAGTCGCTGGCTTCCTACCGCGGCGGCCCGGGTTCGATCCTGGGTCTGGTCAAGTGGGATTTGTGGTGGACAAAGTGGCGCTGGGGCAGGTTTTCTCCGCTCACTTCGGTTTCCCCTGCCAATCTTCATCCCACCAATTGCTCCACAATCACCCTCACCTATCATCTGGGGCTGGTACAATAGGATAGAAGTGGCCGCAGTACAAGGGACTTAGCCCCACCCCACTAACAATAAAGAAACTGTTACATGCCAAATCATCACCAAGCTATCAAAGTAATAGTGAACAAACTGTTAAATATCCTTTAATGAACCCTTGCCCGCTCATTACAGGGAGTCATGTTTGCAAAACAATCCGAACAATAGTGAAGTTAATTTTAGAGCACCCAGTCACGCGTTGTTCCATTCGGTCCGTGTGGGCACAAGTCAGGCAAGAGGCTTCAAAACACTTTGACTTTTGTTGTTCTGAAAATTCAAATTGCATTGCGGGTACTGACTCTCGCAGGATGCAGCGTTTACCATGAATAATTCATGCTGCTACTTGAAGCAGTACAGGTCGTTGTTGGAGCAGTTCTCTCAGGGCAGAGCTGCACCGCGCTTATGACTCCAGGTCTTAGTGTCTCCGGCTCTTTTTTCCACGAGCGATTGTGACGAGTCTTAGCGAAGCATTGATCAGTCGCGTGGCTGTGTGGAAACAGCTACATTTAAACCATCGATTCCCTAAGGCGCTTCACAAAAGAGCGGCCTGCTACAAACGCTCACGGAGAAAGATCTTTGATGCCAAAAAAATGTTCATTTTAACATGGCGACACATTTCGACATATTTATTTATAAAAAGGCATTTATATTCATGTAAAGATCATTCTGTATCCAGCTGTCTCGTTAATATTATTGTTGATACCTTGATATTAACAATATTGTGTATCTTCCCTCGCAGATTTTCTTCTTTTTTCTTGTACCCTGAAGATGGAGGCGATACGTTCCTCCGAAACGTTAGTTAACACAACATCTACACGGCGCCACATCCCAGAAAATTGCTTTCTTCAACATCGTTTTTCTTTCCGACACTCTTAGTTCTGAGCACAACACTGATAGCGATAAGAGCCGGGATGGCTCAGTCGGTATAGCGACAGGCTACAGGCTGGACGGCCGGGTTACGGTTCCCCTAAGGGACACAGCTTCGAGACCGACACTGGGGCCCACCCAGTCTCCTATCCGATAGTTACCGATGGCTCTTTCCCGGGGGTTAAAGTGGGAGAGGCGTGAAGCTGACCACTCACCTCCATGTAGTGCCGAGATCAAGAATGGTGGAGCTCTACCTCCACTACCCCACACGCCCTCGTGGCATAGTGCTTAAATAATTAAACAGAGACAATTTTATCCCTGAATACTGACAGCGCTGTTTGTTTTCCGGTGCATCTGCGATCGTAATTATATTCGAAGTGATGTATGAACCAAAATTCTTGCAGCATTTTTCTTTTCTCTGGTCTCTGTCTTAACTTAATTGGTTACTTCACTATGATGTAGAGGACGCTAGAACAGATAGGATCGTAGTCAGCGATGAATTGGAAAAGATTTGGAAGGAGGCCGTCGTGGATTAATTGACGTATGATTCCGGCATTTGCCTGTAAGGACTGAGGAAAACGTCAACAAGTATAGCAGGTGTTCGTGTCGAGATTCGAACCGACCGCCTCCCTGTTATACAAGTCTACGTTTACACTAGACTGCTCGGTATTGTATTGTTATTGGATTCCTTGTTGTGATATGTAGGAAAGTAGGAGGCCCATATGTGTGTAAGAAATTGTAAAGCAGTCCCAGTAACAGACCGTGGAGGCCCATACACTTCTGAGACGTCGAGGCTCCCACATTTTCTACACAATAGGCACACAGATGACTGTGACGTCAGTTTTACGCACCAAGCTATCCCTGTAACAGATCTTGGAGGACCATAGTGTTGTGAGACGTCGAGGTTCCCACATTTTCTCTAGACAATCGGCTCACACATGACGGTGAGGTTGTCAGCTTTACGCACCGTCCGCCCCTTACCCCCAGGAAGATTCCTAGTACTCATTTCTTTCAGAGGGTGAGTCGAACCCAGGGCCATAGTGCGGCTGAAAGGATGAGGCGAATTGAAAAATCCCATGACCTCATTGGGAATCGACCCTTCTACCTTCTGGATTATAGCATTATTATTATTATTATTATTATTATTGGAGGGGGTGGGTTTCCCCATGCACCGCGACTAATACTCTATTGTTCGTCCCCCTTTGATATTCTACCAGTCGCCATACCCTGCCGGTACTGGTGCTTGCTCTCAGCCCCGTTCAGCCAGCGAGGCTGGCAGTGGTACCCGATACTTCCCCCATATACCGGAGGCATTGGAAACTACTTGGGCGGGAACTTTTGCCTAATTTTGCTCAGAGGTCTCCTAGAGACATGAGGATCTTTTACTTGCCGTAAATCTACAACACGGGACCCACGGCTAAAAGACCCTCCCGGAGCCATTAAAAATTCCACGACCTCCGCCGGCTTTGAACCCGCGTACCTTGAGTCATGAGGCGGGAACGTTACCCCTAGACTACGGAGGCCGCTTGGCTTATAGCATAGTGCTTCAACCAACTATGCTACCGCGTGTACAATCTGCAGAGTTTGAAATTATTTAGTGTTTCGCTTAGACGCAGCCTGCAAGCAGATCTTTGCTGAGAATAGCATTATCACGCCTTTACAACGGTAAATGCGGTGTTGACACGGATTTAAAGTTTATGGTGCCAGTATAGGAGCGCTAAACACACGCTGCTGACTCGCTTCCCGTCAAGCTAATAGAAGACACTGTTACACTTGCCACTCGGCCAGTTGTTTGCTGTTTCGCCTTTCAGATGTCACCTTCTTATGTCTTCAGACAAAGCGTGCAGAAATCGGAGATCTGCAACCCGTTATTTCAGTACAATAACAATGCTCGTTATCCTCAGTCAGTATTTACACTTTATGCTTGCTCACTCTTCACTGAAGTTAAGAAGGCCAAATACATGAAGTAACCGTGGCAACACACGACATGAATATTAATAAGATGTGTCCAAAGAGGCCGTACAACATCTGAGAAAGTTGGGCTATGGATTTTCACCGCGTATCCTCGGGTTCAGTACCTTTCGTGATGGATCAGTTGCCGCCGGAACAGGATTTTCCCCGCTTACCAATATTCCACCATTCCTCGATACTCATTTACCACAGTCCCTTGAGGTATGCCATAGCCCTGAAAGGGCAGAACAGTCAGGGTCAGAGTTACTTTACGACTGGCGGCTTACCGCCCATCAGTTCGTCTTGGCGACGAGCCCCTTGAAACTCACGACCAGTATTTTTATATTCCAACTGAACTCTTGCTTTCATATTCCTTATATAACGTCCTCTCTGACGAGAGGATGGGTCTATTGTATACAATTGCTGCTGGTCCTCTCCAGCACAGTCATTCTCAGGTTCGAGCCCCGGGGGACTCATGATCGCATTTTACTGTCTCAGATTCGTGACTCCCCCAAACTGCAGGATCAGGTCCCCGTGTTTACAGGAAGCAATTGATGGAATGAAGATTGGCAGGGGAAAACGAAGTACTCCGAGAAACCCCGCCCCAGCGCCACTTTGTCCACCACAAATCCCACTTTACCAGACCCCGGGATGGAACCCGGGCCGCCGCGGTGGGAAGCGACCGACTAACCGCTTGAGCTATGGCGCGGCCTTAGTGGAGGATATGTCGAGAAGTAAATATTTATTTTTCCAGTTTCGAATATCAAATATTTTACGTCTTTTATCCATTTGTAACGTATTTACGGATGCTTCCTCGTAGTTTCTATAACGAAAGCTTCGTTTGATAACGCACAACCTTATATATTCCGAGTTTCCATTACCATCGGTTTGACGACCTCAAACTGACAGTCTTTCCTCGTGTCTACAGGCGATAGTAAAGGTTCAGCCACACAGAGCGCTACGTACGCTACGTACGCTATGTTCGCTATACGAACAGAAAAATATCTCCCTTTATTGCCAATGTAACTGGCCACACAGACTTCCGTGCGCTACGTACGCTATGTTCCCTATGTTAGCTGCGTCGCAGAGTGTACACAGCGTACGTAGCGAACATAGCGAACATAGCGTAGCGCTCTGTGTGACCGAACCTTAATAGGCTGCAAGCCTTGAGACCTTAGCATGGCCTCTAGTAGTTCCTTGTTCTAACTTCGGGCTTTTATTTTCTTTAGCTGTTGACGTTAATTCGATTCTGGACTAACTGAAACAACACCAAATTCTTACATATAAGTTTGTTCTAATATTTTCTTCAGTTTTGTTAATATGTTATGTTTCAGACGGCGCTCCGACGGCTTCCCGACTCTGGATGAACGGGTTTCCTTCACGACCTGATGACAAGCAATCCACATTATCCAGGTAAGTTTAACGGTCTGTCAGCTTTATACTTATTACTGCTTAAAATTAGTCTCTAAATATCTGCGACAACTACTGATTTATTTACTAATCGTTTTTAAAGTTATCAGTTGTCTATGGTATAATTATGCAAAGGACCTTGCTGGATTTAATTTTTCTCTGGGCGCACTAAATTTAATTTAAAAAACATTTAATATGAAATATATTTATATAAAAATAGAATTTATTATAATGAAATCCCATTTTTTATTAGTAATCTCAGTTAATTCAATATCAACATAAAACGCAGTCTCATTATTGTTTTCTAGAGGTTTGCCCACATATTCTTTTCTTATTATTTTCTGATGAGTGAGAATTTTTGTGCTGGTGGCCAGCGTACTTGCCTGTTATGCGAAACTCCACGCGGTAGTCAGTAATATCTCTCTGCATACATAAAACAGGAATGTAACGTCCTTTCAGCGTTAGTTGCAATGAGTTCGAGGGAATGTTGACAGAGGCGCCACTGGACGGCTTGCACATAACTTCCTCTCCACGTCATTTCCAAACATTTCTTATCAAATCGGACAAGAGCCACTTGACACCTTGCCTGCGACCATACGCACGTACATGGTGATACTAAACTAATAATAATAATAATAATAATAATAATTATATAATGAAAGACAATCACCTGAAAAGTGGCTACAGGAAGAGACAGTTTTAAGTGGTATAAAAATCCAAGCTTCCAGGTTGTGACGTCTTGTAGTCTGGTAGTTTACCGATGTTTCGGAGGGACATACTGCCTTCATCTTCAGGGTTAAAATGTAAGCCAAACGGACAAAAAGAAAATAGCAATCTGCAAGTATTTGCTTGCTCAGATTAATCTTTGACCCTGAAGATGAAGGCACATCTCCGAAACATCAGTGAATTTCTGCTTGACTACATGATGTCATGTTCCAGAATATAGTACTCTTCGAGGCTACAGCTGTGAGAACTTGAACAGTACTGACAGTTCCTCGAACAATTACTGAGGAAGCTATCACACTTGAAAGTGTTTTATTTGTAATGGACAGTTTTGATTGTAATCATCTGTGCCAGCTGAGTTGAGAACCGGAGCGCTGAGTCAACCTGCTGTGTCAGAATGTACAGAAATATTTCTCTGTAGGCGTCTGACAATTGCCATGGCAACGAGTGGGCCTGTGGTGGTCGCTACAAATTGGCAAAGCTTCGCGACTATAATTTTCCTGCCGTTATAAACAAGATTTGTGTGGTGCACATGCAAATGTGTGAATGCCGTCCTACAGGGCACATAATTTGATTGGATCGGGTTCACGCCTCTGTTACAAAGAGATATGTAGACATTTCCTTTTTGTATTTAACTGAACCCACCCAGCAGCTGTGTTTGTTTACAGACACTTTTCAGGTGTATGGACTCGTTAATGTTGATGTCAATATCAGGTTTATTTAACGTTGCGTTAGAGCTGACATCACAACGCGTAATGCTGAAAAAGGGAGTTCTCTAAATAGCTCAATCGGTATAGCGATTATGCCACAGGCATGAGGACAAATGGGGAAGGGTTCGAGTCCCGGTAAGGTAAATAGATTTTTCTCTTCTCCATAACGTCCAGACCTGTTCTGGGGCCCACCCATTCTCTTATACAGTGAGTACGCGGGGATAGGGTGACAGGCGGCACGAAGCTGACCACTCACCTCCATCTAAAGCGGAGGGTTAAAATTGGTGGAACTATGTCTCCACTTTCCATACGTCATCATGAAGTGGCGTTTAATTAATTAAAAAAAAATTAACTTGCGTCTAAATAATATTTATTCCTTAAAGTGGCTACGAAGAGATAATTTGGTATATCCACCTTCCCACAGAACAGCGTATGCAGCGCTCTATCGGTGCGCTATGTTACCGTAATATTACGCAGCGTCATTAAGATTTTATTACATATTGACGTATCAGATTGGCCTTGATGTTCATTTCTCGTAGATAGAAACATGCTGTTGCAATTTTAAACCATGTAAATCTGATGTAATTATATATACGCCTACATTAACTGACTAACTCCATGGAGATGAGCCCTTGTTGAGAAGCTATCAGTTGTGCAGCTACTCAAGAATTTTATAGAACCCTAAGGCTCACAAACAGTCCTCCATTTATTCCTATCCTGAGCCACAGTTAAGTCCATACAACCCCATCATATCTCACTAAGATCCGTTTTAATATTATACACTTACCTACATCCAAAGAATCATTCGAACTCCGATGCCTCTTGTGATATTTCATAATAAACTTATATTTACGATGAGGAGTTGTTAGTTACACACCGAATTCCCAAGCTGGAAGACCACCCCTTATCGGCTCTCCGCGACTGCTTATTCAGTATATTCGCAGCTACTCTCCACATCTGGAGGGCGTCTCCTCCATCCGCAACCTGAGGACGCGCCGTGTCGTCGTGAAATAGACCCCCTGAACATGGGTACACATGCATTAGCAGCAAGAAACTGCATTTTGTCCTGGGTGTATTTGTGAATTTTATGTGATTTTCGCAGTAATTACGGATTCTTTTCCTACTTCGTATTAACCGGCTAGCCGATTTTATACAGACATAATGTGTCTTTTGAGGTAGAACCTGAATTTGTAAATTAAAAGAATTCAACGAGGTCTGAAGGCTCCCAGGGCCGTCAGAGAGTAAAATATGGTCATGAGTCCCGTGGGACTCGGAACAGAGATTCCCGATGAAGTAAAAAGTTGTCCCTATGTTTAACTAATGAAGTACTACGGCATGAAGGCGTATGGGAGACAGTATATATAGATCCACATTTTCTTGACGTCGGCATTAGTTGGAGGTGAGTGGTTAGCTTCACACCCCGGCCGCTTTACCTCTGGGATAGAGCCCCCATACCCATTGGATATGAGGCAACTGGATTTCTCAATTTACCTAACCCTTCCAGCCGCACTATGGCCCTGGGGTCGATTCAGTCTCTAACAGAAATGAATACCAAGAATTTTCCTGGAGGTAAAGGGTGGCCGGCGCGTAAGGCTGACAACCTCACCACCATCTTTGAGCCAATTATATAGAAAATGTGGCAGCCTCGACGTCTCACAGCCCTATGGGCCTGTTACGAGGATAGCTTTATCGTTCTTTTACCTTCATATTTTTCTTCAGGCATCAATAATTTTACAACAGTGGTCAGAAAAACTGAAGGCGAAAGAACACTTGAAAGACTAGGAGTATGTGGGATGGTAATATTAGAATGGAAATTAAAGAAACGGGACAGTGCTTTGTCTTCTTGCAATATTCCAGCAGTTGTTTGCGACAAACGTAACGCATTTTATGTTGTGAACTGTGCTCCTCTCAGACCGGTGGTTATTTCTTCAATTTGCAAAGTGCCTTAAAGTGGTTTCCTCCTAAGATGTAATTTCAAAGAAGTTGTGTTGTGGCTTGACCTGCAATTTAGTTACGACTCGTGCTAAGTTACGTAGTTATTTTTATTTTCTCTTACATGTTAGTACGTATGCAAACTTATTCTGACTGCGAAAAGAATAGTGGGCAGTATTTTCATGGATTTACACGTTTTCAGCATCCCTAGTTAAGAAAATTTTTCTTTTTGGAATGCCGTATTATGGGGTCTTTTGCATTCGTCGGATATTGGAGAAAAAATGGGAGTACGATGAGACAGTACATCAGCTATTCATAGATTTCAAGAAAGCCTATGATTCAGTTAGGAGGGAAGTATTGTACAATATTCTAATAGAGTTTGAGATACTCGTAAAACTAATCAGGCTGATTAAAATATGTTTAAACGAAACGTATAGTAAAGTACGTATAGGTAAACATTTGTCTGATAAATTTCCTTTCCAGAATGGTCTAAAACAAGGAGATGCTTTATCGCCACTGCTTTTCAACTTCGCTTTAGAATATGCCTTTAGGCAGGTCCAGGAAAACCAGGTGGGACTGAAATTAAACGGGACACATCAGCTGAAGGTCTATGCCGATGATGTGAATCTACTGGGTGATAATGTAGATACCATAAAGAAAAACACACAAACTTTAATTGACGAAAGTAAGGAGGTTGGTCTAGAAGTAAACACAGAGAAAATCATGCACGAAGACCGTCGCGGACCAATCCATGAGCTCGCGGACACCGTTGGGATCAGTTACGGAGTTTGCCAAGACAACTTCAACATGTGCCGCATTGCTCCTTCATCACGACAACGCGCCCGCCTACACGTCCCAGAAAACCACAGAGTTTGTGACTAACAACAACATGGTTATCGTTTCCCATCCTCTCTACTCACCGGACTTAGCCCCCTGTGATTTCGCTTTTTTTCCAAATTGAAAATGAAACTGAAGGGACGACGTTTCGAAACAGTGTCTGACACCCAAAGGGAATCACAAGTGGCACTCGACATCATTAAGGAAAATGGCTTCCACGGTGTCCTTGAAGCGTGGGGAAAAAACGATGGGACCGCTGTATACGTTCCCAAGGAGACTGTTCTGAAGGAGATGACAGCCAAAATTGAATAAGTTAAGTCTGCATTTCTTTCTTGACCTGGTTCAGGAACTTTCCGATACACCAACTATTGTGTGTATATGCGCCTCGCTAACGCCTCAACGGTTGGACGGAATTTGTTCATATTTCATACGTTCTTCGGTCAGTGCTTAGTGAATATGAACATTCGAGTTCCAAAAATAAGTGCCCTTTAAATTGGCCCCAGTAGAGGCAGTTTTCTTGAAGATGTCTCTAATGGTTTTGATAAAAATTGTGTAATCCATGGACACTATCGCCTGAAATAGAACTGAATAGGAGGTATGCTGAAGAAAGCAACGGTATGCGCCCTGGGGTCCCAAATGATTACTCAACCCGCGCATGTCCTAGCTTGTGTAATTAGCGACAAGAAATGGGCTGCCGAACAGCAGATGATTTCGTTTCNATATATATTGAACATCTTACGCGGTAACTGCCTTCTAAAAGAAGTTATTGAAGCAAAGATAGAGGGGCGGATAGAAGTGAAA